TCATTGTTAGCAGTTTCAAAATAAACCACAGATTGGCCATTAGCACTTTATTCCAAATACATCCCGCGAGGAGCACGTGGCGCGCAGGGCTGGGCGCCTGGGGCCGGAGGAGCGCTCCTGCCCGGAGCCCCGGAGGCCTGGGCCGGCACGGCCACGTGAGGCTGCTGCGTCCCGGCCCAGGGCCTCCACGGCGTGCAGAGCCCGGCGGGGCGAGCTGGCAGGCCGGCCGGGGCGACTGGACCAGCGGACGGCCCACCTCTGGAACCTGGGTTTGAACTCGGGGCTCGGCTGGGCGCCCTCCTTGCCCGAGCCCGGGGAGCGCACAGGGCTCCGGGCAAACGACTGCCCCAGCCGGCTCGCCCTGCTTTAGTCACAGCTGTTCTCAGCGGCCTCTTCCAACACACATTGGAATTTGATGTAGACAATGGCCGGAGGACGCGGCCCAGCGGCGGTGTGGGTAGCCGAGGGGCTGGGAGCCTGGTGTGCCTGGACCAAGGTGCCCTGGCTCCCTGAACCCCCGCCTTGCCCCCACCCAGGAGACTGACATCCTCTGGGGTTGAAAGCCCGAGCTGGCCTGGAGGGCGCCGGGGAGAGGAGGCCTCCTTGGCTGAGTGAGCCTTACTCTGGGGGACCCGCCTGGAGGGTGGCGTGGGCGGGCCGTGCTGCCTCCCCCAGCCCTCTGTGCACCTGCCCGCCAGCCGGGCCTTGAGGCTGGGGCAACTGGACGCCAAAGCCAGGGCGCCGTGTAACGCCCGCCTCTGCATGTCCCCGTGCAGGCCATCGTCTATGAGGGCCAGGACAAGAACCCGGAGATGTGCCGTGTGCTGCTGACCCACGAGATCATGTGCAGGTGAGCGGCGGATTGGTGAGCGGCGGGTGGGTGGGTAGCCTCGGCGCCAGCTGCAGCCACAAAGGATGCGCAGTCCTGGCGCCTCCACCCGGCTGGGCTTTGGGATGGGGTTCGATTGAAATGCAATCGGCTGGCCGCAAGCCGCAGCCCAGGAGCCGGGCTCATTTCCCCCACGACAGCGAGGACGGTCCCCGCAGCTGGCTGGCGGCTCAGCGGAGCCGATTAATGTGTTGGCCATGTCGCTGTGATATCAGAAATGCAAAGGGTCCTGGGTGATGCCTGTGTCCTCCGTGCGGAGGAGTTAGGATCACTCCCAGGCACTTGACTGCTTCCTTCTGCAGCTCGGGCATCCTGAGCCGGGCCGGCGGCTGGTATTGATAAAAGGAAGCTCTGTACTTGTGACAGAGCCGAGCATGTGAGAATTGGACTGTGAGTCTGTCAGTTAACCTCTTCCCTGGTGCAGCCAGGCGCCCTTCCCAGGGTTGTTAGGCTGCGCTTTCCTGAGATCCCTGTCACAAGAGCAATTCCCCTCCTGCTTTTTTTTTCTAACGACCACAAGAGTTTCACCCCTTCACACAAATAAAAATGCATCATTGGCTTTGTACGTGTGGCTTGTGAAATATCGAGGCGAGGAATGACAAGGACCTGCGAGCCTGCGACAGTAGCGGGCCGCTGGCTCGGCGGGGCGGGCTCTGCCTGGCTGCGGTGCCGGCTGCCTCCATGCCATTTCTGAGCAGACATATTGTTACAGCACTAATATACAAAAGCTGACTTTTTCTCATATCAGGTAATAAATATAAATTACAACCAATAAAGTGGAATTTCTTTATTATCCACTTCTGCATGTACTGCAATTAACATAGAAAGCGCACAGATGTGATTTAAGCTCTAAGTGGAAGACTGTAGACTTTCTTTAATCACTTTAGCTGTCAGCTTTAAAAGGCTTTATATACTTTGCCTACCATATGGTGTTAATTTAGCTAATTTAGACATGTAACCATTATACAAGTATGCTTTTTTAAAATGCAAGAAGCATAACATTTTTGTTTCATTTCTGCTTTAATTAAAGTTTCAATAACAGCGTTAAGGTAGGCTTAAAGAAGGAACAATGGAAGTTTCTGATAGATGGATGCATGCCTTTGTGGTTATAATTAATAAATGCCCCAAAGAAATATTGGTTGAAGGTGGCATCTTGCATCTTTTCCAGAAATAACAGCTTGACAATTAGAGGTAAACAAAAGCTGAAGCTGTGAAAAGTTATTCCCAAGCCTCCTGCCTCTCCTTCTCCTCAGTTCACTGCAAAGACAAACACCGCAACATGTTTTCCATATTTTAGCATCACAATTTAGGTGGTAGCTCCGTGACCCTCCTCCTAGGAACAGATATGTTCAACTCTGCTCCTTCCGGTAGAAAGTTACACCCTAAGTTTAGCCACAGAGCACATGAACCCACTGGGTTGAAAATTGCCAGTCTGCCTGGGTAGGATAACTTATTTTGTCGACTCCAGCCGCTTGACTGTCAGACTTTAAAAAAAAAAAAATTACCAGTCGGGCATAAAAGGATGACATGCATATTAAAACCCCTGTTTACAATTACTCCACAGCCGGTGCTGTGACAAGAAAAGTTGTGGCAATAGAAACGAGACGCCCTCAGACCCCGTAATCATTGACAGGTAAGGAAGACTTCTTTATTTTTTTCCAAACAAAACCACAGCCCCCGCCCCCGCCCCCGCCTGTGCCTGGCTGGGTTTGCAGTGGCTCCCCGTCTGTGGGGCTGGGGCTGAGCTCCTCGTGCGTTGCCGTTTGTTGTCCGCGTGTGTTATCACGCACAGGTGGGTTGACTTGGAAACCTGGAGGCTGGCTCTGTGGGGATTCGGTAATTGCTTTCGAGTTGTCAAGGGAAGCAGTTTCATCTGCCACCGCTCTCGCTGTGAGGAGCACTTTATGCCTAGAGAGTTTCTGGCTTTAAACCCAGAGATATGTCATAAAATGCTTTTTGCTAATTTGTTAACAAGTATTTCATTTTTTGCATTAATTTTTTTTTTTTAATCTCGGATGATGCTAGCCGAAGTTGAGACTTGGGTGGTGTTACTGTTGTAATTGTTGCCCAGTGTTAGAATGAATTTAATCTGCTCTCAATTAGTTGCAAAATGTCTCCTAATTTTTTTCCAATTGTGGCTGTCGTTTTATGTCAAGTAGCAAATATGTAACTAACAAACCAAAGTTGTTATAATTGAAACTAATTACACATGCTGGTTACATTTTCCAACATTAATATCCATCACTAGACGAGCTGTATGCATTCTTTACATTTGCTGCTCTTCATCTTGCTATTTATCATGTTCCTTGGGCCACATTGCATCCTTTAAAGCTACTAATCATCAGCCCTAATCGTGTTAATGTGCGTTTGCTGTTGCTTTAGTTGAAACAACAAATACACTACCCCCCTGCCCTCCTCCGGAGCACCCCCCCTGCCCCCCCATCGCTGGGTTTCTGTGCCCTGGAGGAGGGAGGCTTTCTTTCTCCCAACAATGGGGACAACAGCCAGAGGCCCAGGGTGTGATGGGCTGGGGGGTTTTTGAAACTGGTACCCAAATCGAATAAATGTTAGACGTGTACATATGACTCCAGTTTTGTGAAGCAGAGGTTTAGGCCGTTTTGAAGAGGGGTTGGATTTCAGCAGCTTTCAGGACAAAGTTATCTTTTGATCATGAACTTTGGCTGTCCAGTGTCTGAAAAATTAAACCCGGAAAACTCCATGAGTTAAGCCCGAGGAAATGTGGGCCTCCAGTGGAGAGCAATGCTAATGTTGAACTAGCTGGGATCGCTGTTTGCTTAGTGGGGAATGCTCGGTATCTGACAGAAGGGACGGCTCTTATTAGTAATCAAATAGGGCGGACCAGTTGTGGCCGTCACTCAGGCCGCGAGAGCAAGTTCAACACTTTGTCCAACTCCAGCTACAGAAATCAATAGCATTATATTTGTCTTTAGTGCGGTGGCCATGGAAATCTTCCAGCCTCAGGGTTGTTGGGCTCGTACCTGAATTTATTTTGTTTTCCGTGATTGGCTAGAAGTGTTTGAGCAGCTCTTGGCATCTTGTCTGACTGTAGGATGCTTGAAAAGGCAGCGGTGCGAAGTGCTTCATCTTCTGAGTGGTCTTCCATTTGTGATATTTGTACATTTAAAAAGCTGGCTTGTTTCCACGTCCTGAGGTTCTCAGCACAGCACAGCGATCGAGTAGCCGCGTTGATTCAACCGATCTTTCGGGCGCCGTGTGTCCCCCCTGCAAAATCACTTTGGGGTTTGTGTCACAGCCCATCACGTATCGACTCTTGAATAACCTCTAATACTCAGTTTTATCACAGGATGGGAAATATCTTCTCCCGCATGTGCAGAAATATACTCGTGAATTCTTGTCTGAGTGAATGCCTTCTTATCTTTGGTTAATTAAAATATGTGCTAAGATTACTGATACCTCTCTGACCTAGAGAAGTGTGCGATCATTTGATATGCTGGAAGCAGGAGAGGAGGGGGAAATGTAAAAACATTTGGTTAATGGGTTTACCAAGTTTATTTGAATAAGGAGGATTGCAGCTCCATTTGCGCCTGGCGTCAATGCTTTGGAGATCTTAATTATTGATGAAAATCTGCTCTGCTTCTAAATTCAAAGATATGACAATTTTACAGGAATTTTAATCACCTTCCACGTGAGGGATGTTGAGGTAAGGGTAGTTCTACGGGATGACAAACAGGGTGTGCGTTTTTTACCATTCTTAAGAGAGCTGTCACTTGTAATGACAAAAGACTATTCACATTTGGTTGCTTGATGTCAGTCCGTGTGTGATGATTGCAGCTATTGGCACAACCTTCCGTTTAAGGCAGAGTTCTAGGGGGAAAATGAAGAATTCAGTGTTTACTAAGGCAAGTTGTGTGAATCAGAGAAAGAAAAATGCCTGTGGGAGGGGACTGTCTTTCGCGTGGCGCAGCCTTTTGCAACTGAAAGGCGTTTCAGTTTCATAATGATCATCATTTCTGTGGCGTGCGCGCTGCCTCTGAACACTAGTTGCTCCTGTTGAGCCTCTAGCCCGCGGTTCCCCTGGGGGGGCCGCTGAATGGAACCCCGCACCGGGCTGGGGAGTCAGTCCACAGGTCCCCACCAGCGCTGTCATGACTTGGTTAGTTGGCTTAAGAAAGAATTAGATACAACGTGCTTCGCAGGCTCCGTGTGGCCTTTGGACACACTCAGCAGCTCCTGACCAGATAAGGCCTATTTGTCCTGAGGATATAAACCAATAATTCCAACCTGAATTGAGATCAATGGGCCCACGTTTGCTCTAACCCACGCGGAGGCTCTCCCGAAGGCCGCGCGCCTGTGCCGCTGGGTGGTGAGAGCAGAGAAGTCGGCTCCCGGCTCCGGCAGGCAAATCGCATTCTATAGACTCTGACGCCTTAAATCAATTAATTACACAATTTGGCTCAGTTATCTTTCAGAAGCATTAAATACTCACCAGCAGCATGGAGGACCCTCCGCGTGGAAAGGGGGAAACGTGAGGCTGTTTTTGCGTTGGGAAACCCTGTTATTGTGAAGGTTTTCACTTACCTGAACTGTCTTCTTCCTCATAAAACGACGCCAGAGAAACCATCGTTTATGGCTCCGCAAATATAATTACACCACCGCGGGTTTAGGAGAATACAGCGGCTCACGGGGTAGAGGAGAAACGTGACGTTGTAAAGTAAAAGCATGGCCAGTGAAGAGCTACGGTGGTAGAAAGCATGTTTGTGGCTGTAGTGACCTGCAGAGCCAGAAGCGGGGGTGGGGGAGCACGTGTGTGTGTGTGTGTGTGTGTGTGTGTGTACACACCATGTGCGCGTCCCCATATACATGCATGTGCGTGTATATGTGTGTACACACACACACACACACACACACACATAGTGTTCTACGGTATTCTGAAAGGAAGGGGGTATCGTTTTCCTCGTGGAATAATGTTTTCTGGGAAAACACAAAAGCAGATGGTCTCCATTAGGGACACCCATTGTCCACACCGCCCAGCTATGAACAGATGAATCTCTCCCGTCTCACCCGTGCATTCCAAAGGCTGTGAATGATTACAGGATGTCGGTGTGGCTGCTAAACCAAAACCACACTTTGGCTGTCGTCCTCTCATGCCATCCCGTCCCGGGGTGTCGCCTGAGGCCCCGTGGACATGCCCGGGGAGGCGCGTGCTCTGACCTCCGTCCCTGCCCGGCCCAGTGGGTTGGAGCTCTGGGTCCAACTGTTGCGACCGGGCAGGCAGACTCCGGGGCGGCAGGAGCCGGGTGCTGGGACATCCGAGCGGCCGGGTCGGTCGCACACGGGGCCCCGTGCAGCGCCCGGAGGGAGCGTGCTCGGCGGGGAGGTTCCAGATGGCACGGTCTCAGGCGTCTCACGCGCTGGCATCTCTGTGGCAGCGGGGCCCCCTCCCCGGCAAACCTGGCATTGGTCTATGGAGTTCGGGAGACTTATCATTCCAAGTCTGTCCTACTTTGCTGTCTGGAAGCCAGACATCTGTTTATTCCATTTTCTTTCATACGGAGTTTGGAATAGCTCTAGTTGGTGGGGGGGTGGGGGGAGGTGGGAGAGAAGCAAAGTTTTGTCATATTTAACAGCTGTTACAAAATTTCAACCCTGTGGGCTCTGAAAATACTTTTCAGCTGACCTCAGATTTTTATACATAACTGACATAGGGTTGCAGAAAAATATTATTGACTTAACCTTTCATTGTCTGCGATTTCACGTTGTCCTCCGTCACATGCCCAAACCCCAACCTTTTTAACTCCGCACACACACCCCCGCCCGCATCCCCCAATACCGCTGCTCTCATTCATTTACGAGTTTGAAGTTTACACCTTTAAAACGATTGCAGAACGGTAGCCGAAGACCCATTGGAGATTTGCTTTCTTTCTTTCTTTCTTTCCTTTTTTTTTTTTTTTTAGTCAACAGTGTTTCCTTTCACTTCCTGTCACAAAGGTCAAAGAGAGCGACCTTTGCTGGCAGTCCTCCCACTGAATTATTCATGGCATTGACTTTTGTCAGCACACACAGTTGTGCTCTGGGACGCTTTATTCATTTACCTCATTTAAAGCGCCTTTCTGCACCTGTTCAAGTATTAATATCATGTAATTTGGGCCTAATGCCGATTTTGCTGAACACTCATTATATTTTTTATTAGCTATATTTCCAAACGATTATGTATGATTATTACCAAGCCTTACAAACAGCACCGGGCTATTCCCTAGCCCCTTCCATCTTCTTGTCAGGTTGTTTTCGGAAGCGGGGAGGATAAACATTTGACCAGTCCCAATGTTTTCATTCCACTCCATCTCCGAGCACAGAACTTAAAGCTCCCTCCCTCATGGCTTTGCACGAGCGTGATTAAATCCAACTCCGAGGGAGCTGTACAAATGCCAGCATTTATAAGGTCAACGCTTTTGTTAAAAACGCTATGTAAATGAGGATCTGCAAAAAGGGACATTAAATAAAATTAAATTCATTGTCTTCTTTAATGTCATTTACATTTTGGCTAAGCCCCGGCCTGTCAAGGAGGATTTTAAAAATAATTTTAATTACACACCATTTAGCGATCCAAGGTTTTCCTATTCAGCAGCGTTTGGATAACCTGCAAAACGGAGA